CTCAGCTCGATCTCTCCACTCCCCCTCTCCCCTAACTCAGACTTCTAAATCTGTTTCATTCCACCTCGAAGCGCAGCGGGCCGTAAGAATCGGAAAGAAAATTAAACGTCATAAAGAAAAGTTCATTTACTGCTTAAATGTCTGACTATTACGGTTCCTTCAGAAAACAAAGCGGTATACTCGGTAAGGAGAAGTGAGTGAGTAGCAGGGATGGGGCGGGCTGGTGCGGTAGGAGACTTGGATTTATTTATTCTTTGGATTCAGAGGCAGAAAGGGAGATAAGCAGGAAGGTGAGAGAGAACCATTTTAACCCAACAACTGGCGAAACAGGAGGCTGTAGCTGGTGGGACTGGGAGCAGAATGCGGCCGGACCCCGTCCTGCTGCAGTAATCTCGTGATGCCGGCTCAGCCCATAACTTGGGTACAGAAGGAGCAAGTATACTATATATTTATTGGTTTCAGGGAACTAGGTTGGGAAGCAAGAATGGAGGAAAGGGGGAGACAAGGAGGGTAAGGCGGAGCCACAGCCGGCCAGACGCGAAGAGATGTCGGATGCCGCAGGGAAGCCACAGTGGGTTGGCAGTGGACGGCGGCGGGTGGGCTCCTTTGCAGGCTCTGGGGGAAGAAGCCTGCGCTGAAATCCTCAGTCCTTCTCCTCCAGGGCTAGACTGAGACTGGGAGTGTGGGAGAAGCTGAGAGATCACAGTATTGGCATAGGGGTATTTACAGAGGGCTCACCTTTTTTTCTGGACCTCACAGCTTGTCTTCCTGTCCTCTGGCTCTGCTTGTAGAGCCATTTCAAGACCTAATCATTTCTTTTTAAATTAGAACTCTAATGGAAGGGAAGGGAAGGTGGTCAGAAAGTAATGGTGGGTGATTCTGGTTAAACTCAGATGCTCCAAACAACCTTAATTGTCATTTCCACCCTCTTTGACTAGAAAACTGACCCTTGACATCCACCCCCCTTACCCACCTGGTAAGGAGCACCTCAGGACTAGTAGACACCTGAAATGGGGCCTGGGGCCTGGGTGGCAGCAACCAAGAACAGTGGACATAGTTAGTTGGTAAAGCTCCCAGGCCTTAGTGCCTTGTGCCCTCCTACCCTGTGTTCTTATAATGAAAAACAAAGAGGTCAATTTGATTATTTCTAGTGGTAAAATATCTTTGCTCTCAATGCAGCTTCTGATCCCAAGATCTAAGGTGATAAATGTTTCACCCATAGACATTAAATCTGGGCAAAATGCCACGTATGTCACAAGATAGCAGGGCTCAATGGGGTAGAAGCTAACCAGCGTGGTTACATTAGTTACTAGGAGCTCCCAAGGAGTGAATGAAAGGCCGTTTGATGGCTTCTCCCATTCTGTGCAGTGTATTTTCAAATGTTGAAATGGATGGGGCTTTCCTATGTCCCCTCAGTTTGAGAAGGGGAGACCCAGGAAGTTAGAGAGTTTACCAGCTGGAATGCTTCCCCCTAGTGTGAGAAAGATAGAGATAACCAGACCTTTCCCTGAAAAAAAAAAATGTGCTGCATTTCTGCGATAGAATATTGGCAGGCACTTTGGAAATTTAGGGACTTATAAAGAATAAGGCAAGGCAGACACCTTTATGAAGGCAGAGGCTGAGGTGTGATTCTGGGTGGGTAGAGGAAACTGAGGGAGTAAGGCTGAGCCTGCATCACCCAAAGCCATTTCCTCAGGAAAGTAAAACACACACAATGGGCTTCAATATTGAAAAACACCAGATGATCTGCTCCGAAGGGACATAAACAGGCTAAGCGGATGCAGGTTAATAAAATCTGCAAAAGCCCAGACAGGAACACTTAAAATGCCCCAGAACAAAGCACAACCATGACAAATTCTCACCCAACACACAGCTACACGCACAGGAATGTTCCCAGACACACAGAAAAAGAGCCCTTCCCTACCTCAGGCCTTCACTCACGAACACTCAGGTATACTTGCCCAGCTCCAAGAACACACAAATTTGTTCACTTTCCTAAACTGATCCAAAGAAACCCCTGGGAATGACAGGCACCAGCGGCACTGCACACTCCACAGAGTCAGCCCATGTTCCCCTGAGCCTCACTAATGCACGATCCAGATCCATACTTGGAGATAAAAGTCTAGACAATAGACGACTGTTTATGACGAGGCTCTCCAAGTTTGGGGCCAGGCGATAAATCTTAGGCGAATCTTCCTGTAACTCAACTTCTGTCTGTAGTGACGAGAGAACCACGGAGACTGTAGAGAAAAGCAGCAAAACGGGGGAGATTTTTAAATCACCTTCCTCACTGGGGAGAGCAGGGTAGGCTGTTACATTTGCCCCATGCAGCAGTCCACACTACGGAAGCTCTCAGACTGAGCTTCTCAGCACTGGCAAGATAGGGCTCCAACTATCTGCCCTGGCATCAGGGATCCCAGAAATCGGGGTGAAATGTGCAGTCAAAAAGGCAGGGCCTGGAAGCTGGGACAGCTTGCTGTGAGCAAAGAGTCTTTTTTTTGTTGGCGATAGACTCTTCTTTCCTGTCACCTGAAAATCTCTCTCTCTCTCTATCTCACTCCTCTCCTC